AAAAGTCAGAATCAATATAGATGTTTTTTATTTTAAAGAAAATTCAGATTTTACATAGTAAAAAACTGTAAATTATAGTGTCCGTCCAAAAATTATTTTTTACTTATAGTGAAAACCACCCTTGGATGATGGGTTAGTAGACAACATATAATAAGTACCCTGTATCAAGATTGATGCAAAACAAGTGAAATTTGACCTTTTTAGAGAGATTTAGCCAAAAAACGCCACTTCTGGGGTCATTTGGGTGGATTTGACCTATCTCTGGCCCCCCTTTGCTCGATTTTGATGAATGAAATCTCTTTATAACCGCTAGAGCCAATGGAATCGAGGGAAAGTTATATACACACACAAAACGTTAACAAATAAGGAGTGAGAGTGACGCGTTACCAAAACCGGAAGCTGCATACACTCTAGTGGCTACCATTAGCAGCTAACTTTTCCGCTCCGATTTTTACATAAAAAATGGAATTATGGATTATAAATAATTTCTTCAAAGGCACAGGTACATTATCAACCTATGGATCAACAGTTGTAGCATTTTTTTTTTTTCGTTTTAATGCCATTGAACACGTCTTTTGACCTAATTGACAGCTATGGTGAGACGATCTGCCGTAAAAGCTCCGTAAAGGTACGTGTTGTGATGTCTGTGTTTGCTTCCCCTGTCGCAAGTTCGGATCGCTCAGTGATGATACTATACCTAAATAATCAGTGGAGTCTCAGCTTTAATCGGCTATATTGTATGTGCAGCTACGATAAGTAATAAGGGTATTTTTATCTTGAATTGTGTGCCGCAGTGCGTTAGAATCTTTTCGCTCAGGGGTCATTTAGACGCTTCTTATGAGACTTGTGTTTTGTTTTGGTAAAAATGGTTAATATCTTCAGTTAGCTGAGATTCTTCCCGTTAATCTGGTGCTACACATTAATAGTTTCATAAATGTTAAGAAGCCCTGAGACATTATCTCGAAAAAAAAATGGTGGGAGGGGTCCAATGGGGGGACCGCCGTGCTTAACCTCTTAAGCCCAAGTCTCATAAGAAGGGTCTAAATGACCCCTGAGCGAAAAGATTCTAACGCACTGCGGCACACAATTCAAGATAAAGATACCCTTATTACTTATCGTAGCTGCACATACAATATAGCCTATTAAAGCTGAGACTCCACTGATTATTTAGGTATAGTATCATCACTGAGCGATCCGAACTTGCGACAGGGGAAGCAAACACAGACATCACAACACATACCTTTACGGAGCTTTTACGGCAGGTCGTCTCACCGTAGCTGTCAATTAGGTCAAATGACGTGTTCAATGGCATTAAAACGAAAAAAAAATATCTACAACTGTTGATCCATAGGTTGATAATGTACCTGTACCTTTTAAAAAATTATTTATAATCCATAATTCCATTTTTTATGTAAAAATCGGAGCGGAAAAGTTAGCTGCTAATGGTAGCCACCAGAGTGTATGCAGCTTCCGGTTTTGGTAACGCGTCACTCTCACTCCTTATTTGTTAACGTTTTGGTGTGTATATAACTTTCCCTCGATTCCATTGGCTCTAGCGGTTATAAAGAGATTTCATTCATCAAAATCGACCAAGGGGGGCCAGAGATAGGTCAAATCCACCCAAATGACCCCAGAAGTGGTGGTTTTTGGCTAAATCTCTCTAAAAAGGTCAAATTTAACTTGTTTTGCATCAATCTTGATACAGGGTACTTATTATATGTTGTAATTTGGATTCCTAAAGCTTTTAGTCTACTAACCCATCATCCAAGGGTAGTTTTCACTATAAGTACAAAATTATTTTTGGACGGACACTGTAATTTACAGTTTTTTACTATGTAAAATCTGAATTTTCTTTAAAATAAAAAACATCTATATTGATTCTGACCTCTCTACATCCAACTCACAGGTTTATCATTACTTTGAGAATAAAGATTATTAATTTAACCCTTTTAGAAGGGAAGATATGGTCATTTGTTCTGGGAATGTCATTTTCGAGCCTGAGACCTGAAAAACAGGCTCAGGGCTTAAGAGGTTAAGAGGTTAATAGTTTTGATAGAAATATGTATTAACTGTAATAAACTGTTTATTATATCATTTATAAAAGAAACCTGATAGAGAATATAAAATGAACTCCAGGTGTTTCAATGTTCAGAGTGAATTATGAAGTGTAGGATTTTCTTGTTGTATTTTAATGTAAAGCTCAACATTAGTCTGCCACAGTCAACACATGTTCTGTAGAATCCCATATGTCTGGTAACAAGCTGCACTGACTAACATGTGGCTTTGCATTGTCAGCTTGCATTATATTGTTCTTGGGAGAATGAAAGAAAAGAAACATAAGATGAACAAAAGGAGAAACTGCAGACAAATGGTAACATCCATGATTTGTTGTGCTAAGCTAGGCTACGCCTGGAAGGTGGACCTGGAGAGATTCCCCAGTGAGAGGAACACCTCCACCTCCCTGTGTTTAATACAATACTGCTGAACCAGCAGAGAGTCGACCCCTTACTGACCTGAGAGCCTCCAGTCTGCAGTCTGGACTCTCCAGAAGATCTCTCAGCAGCTCCACTCCTGAATCCTGCAGCTTGTTGTGACTCAGGTCCAGATATCTCAGATGTGAAGGGTTGGACTTCAGAGCTGAGATCAGAGCAGAACAGCTGATCTCTGACAACCTGCAGCGCCTCAGACTGAATAAAGAAAACATGATGTAACTTTAGAAAGCAAAGTTCCTAGAAAGGGCGCGAAAGTCATTTCATTCATTAAAATAATAGTGTCTTCATGTCTTAAAGCTGCTGAGTCATATACTGCACCTCAAACAACAAATACATCCAGAGTTACAGTTTCTTTACTTCCTCTACAGAAAAAAGGACAGTGAAAGAAACTCAGAAATCTCAGTTTCAGATGAAGCCTGCTGCAGACCCACCGGACATCCAAGGAGATAATAAGGTTCTCTAAGGTTTAATAATCGGTGATAAGAAGATGCAATTACAGTATGTATACAGATTTCATTGATCATGAGAAATGTGAATAAAAATAGCTCACAGTTTAGATTGTTTAGATTTCAAAATAAGGATTGCATTATCTGTAAATAAATCCCATAAAACAATACATCATTACAAATAACATGAAAGGAACAATGTGAACTTGGTTCAGGCGGCATCCAACTATTCAGGTCACTCACAATAACTTGTCGTGTAAAGGTCATCGCTTTCAGCAAGCCACAGTTGGTATAGTTAAAATAATCCTTGTAGCAATTCACTCTCAACACTGCACTCTGCTTCCAGTCAATCAGCCTTCAACTGAGTCCAGCAAAAGCTTCACATGGATAGTTTGCCGCCCACTCATGGCTTCTGTACATTTGCACTCTTCTCTTTGTTACAGTAATCATACGGGAACAAAATATATTTCTAAAACATGCTTTGAGGAAAAAGATCAGTTGTCTCCTTGCTTGGAGGCATAAGTTAAATGGATTGAATCAAAGATGGATTCCCCAATAACCTACTCGAAGCAGCCAACCGATGTTCTGTAACAGACAGAAGTAACTGTGATTGAGTGGAGCTGGCTATTTTTGAGGTATGGCCTCCTGAGGGGAGAGTGCTGTCCTCTGGAGCAAGTTGCCCTCGTAATGTTTTGTCTGATGGTCTGTCTTCTCAGGGTATTGAGGGCGCTCCATGCTGCCCTAAATGCATTTTGCTGCAGGGGAACATTCGGGGCTGTTTGACGAAGATTGTGAGAAATCAATCTCCAAGTTTGCTGATGCTTCTGGCAGAAGTGACGAGATAATGTAGACTGTCTCTATATAGTTATCAAGTGCATTATCTTTTTTTTGTGTTGCCTAAATCCACGTTTCTCTTGTTTGAACTTTATAATAACGCGCCAATGTTTCGGCAGATACCTGGATAATGCCTACAATCATATATTTAATTGATGTTATATACAATCAGAATCATTTCATAATAATAAATATATCTCTAAGGTTTAATAATCGGTTTCAGAGCTCAAAATGGTTTTAATGTCAGCAATGATGTGGAAAAACCCCTCTCCCACTCCGGCCTCCCTCTACCTGCTCCCTCCTCCAGCTCACCTGTGGGAAATCCTTTCCCCCATGAACAAAGAAGCTGGCTGGCCTCATGCAACTCCTGAGAACCAATCGTTTGAGTAAAATAATCAGTACGTGTTCCTTTCCTTTGTATTGTATGTTCATAGCAGCTCCAGTAGTTTACCTCCCTATTTTCTGTACCGTTTAGATTGGTTACTTTATTTCTACATTACATATAATAATGTAGAAAGATAACTGCTTTGCTGGAGTATCATTTGAAGTATGAATGTTATGTTTGAACTAACTAAGATGTGTTGTACTTTCCTACCAGATCAACCAGACAACAATTAAGACAAACAAGAATCAACAAATTACAATGAAACAATGATCTGGAACTCCTGCCTCCATGTGCTCATCTTTAAATCCACTGCGTTGACTGTTTAGTCCTTGAACCAACCACCCTCACCACCCTCCATATTCTTCAAAGGATGTAGATTCAAAACAATTGATAAGCTCAAACTCTCTGCAGCAGTTTTTCTCAGCAACATCTTTGACCTCCTTCATCTCCCTCACAGCTCATCAGTACTGACAGCATCTTCACTGACTCATGGAGCACAGTGAGAGTGAAGGCTGAAAGGATATCTCACATGAGAGCGGTTGGACTTCAGAGTCACACATTTACTTTCTCTGCTTTTTGTTGGTCTTTAAAATACTCAGCCATTTAGAAAGAAATATAAAATAATGTAAATGTCTTTGAACTCTTAGTACTAAACTCTGGAATTAGAAATAATATAAATGTTAAATAAATAGAAATCCACATGAACTACAGCCAGTGATCTGACCTGAGAGACTCCAGTTTACAGTTTGGACTCTTTAGTCCAGAACTCAGCATCTCCACTCCTGAATCCTGCAGCTTGTTGGCACTCAGGTCCAGCTTTCTCAGGTGGGAGGGGGTCGCACTTCAGAGCGAGGCCACGACTTCACAGTCAGAGTCTGAGATTCCACAGTTAGGAAATCTGCAAATGACACATATATTAACAGCATGTTATTATAAAACAAGGGGAAACATTACTTTACTTCATGCATTTGTTGAAAAAACATTTTGAATATAATGTTTTGAATAACTCTGATGTTAGTAATTAATATTTATTGAGTTTGCTGTAAGCCTTTTCAGTGTGATCTGATCCCATGTTTGTCCCGTCGGACCTACCTTCTGCTGTCAGTGAACAGAAATTAAACAAATCGACAATATAAGAGATGTACATAATGAAATGTTAATATATTTGGATGTGCATGACACTGAATGCATCATGTGTTGGCTTCTCAAAGCGTCTAAGAATGTATAATGCACACAAACATATAGAACAAACCAATAAGTTTACATTATTTTCAACAAAGCACCATGAAAAAGATGTTATCTGTGTATCAGCGTTAAAACACAATCTGACCTCTGTTCTTGGTGGGATTATGTAGGTCTTGTTTAAAAAGAGTCAACATAAATCAGATATTACTCTGTCTGATTGAACTATTAAGAAACTGCAGTAATGTAATAATAACTTTACTGCATTCACTGATATCTGTGAAATACTGCTGTATGTTGTGATCACATGTTGCTGTGATAAATCATAGGTCCTTCAGAAAAAGGAAGAAAATAAAAAACTGAAACATTTTTAATTATTAGAATAATTACATTTATCTTTCACAGTATTTGAAACAGCAAAAAGTTGAATAGTGTTTATTCGAAAACTAAACTTAATATCTACATTAGTTTATAAAGTTAATCACATCTGGACTCACACAGCCTCGCTGCAGTTCATCAAATCTGGAATCACTCTCTGTCGTCCCTCCTCTGATGTTCCGTACTTCTCGTGGTCCAACTCATCCAGAACCTCCTCTGACATCTGCAGCATGTAGGCCAGAGAAGACAAGTAGATCTGTGATGTGTCCTCTGACTTCAGTGCATCTGTGATCTCCTGATGGACTGAGTGGTCCTTCATCTCTGTCAGACAGTGGAAGATGTTGATGCTCCTGTCAAGAGAGATTTCATCACTGTGCATCTCCTTCAGGTTGTTGATGGCTCTCTGGATGGTTTCTGGATGGTTGTCTGTGCGACCCAGCAGGCCTCCTAACAGTCTCTGGTTGGACTCCAAAGAGAGGCCGTGGAGAAAGCGGACAAACAGGTCCAAGTGGCCATTTTCACTTCTGAGGGATTTCTTCATGGCTCCCTCCAGGAAGACATCCAGGGATGGGTAATCCTGATCACTGTTATACCTGTTGCTATAGTCTCCCTGCAGGAAGTCCTTCAGTACCTCTGTGTTCCTGTTGGTGTAACAGTGCAGCATGTAGACTGCAGCCAGGAACTCCTGAATGCTCAGATGAACAAAGCAGTAGACTGTTTGCTTGAAGATCACACTCTCTCTTTTGAAGATCTGTGTACAAACTCCTGAGTGCACCAAGGCCTCAGTGACATCAAGACCACAGCGCTCCAGGTCTTCTTGGTAGAACATGATGTCTCCTTTCTCCAGATGTTCAAACGCCAGCCTCCCCAGCTTCAGAAGAACCTCCCTGTCAGCCTTCGTCAGCTGCTGTGGACTCGTCTCATGTCCCGCACCATACTTCTGCTTCTTCCTCTTTGTCAGGACCAGCAGGAAGTGTGAGTACATGTCAGTGAGGGGTCTTGGGCAGCTCTCCTCGCTGGTCTGTAGTCCACATGTGGTCCAGAACTGCAGCAGTGATCCAGCAGAAGACTGGGATCAGACACATGATGTGGAGGCTCCTGGAGCTCTTGATGTGAGAGATGATTCTGCTGGACAGGTCTTCATCACTCGATCCTCCTCCTGAAGTACTCTCCTCCTTCTGGGCGTCAGTGAAGCCTCGTACTTCTGTACCCCACCCACACTACCCACCACCCGGTCCACACACTCAGGAGGGATCTGATTGGACGCTGCAGGTCGGGAAGTTATCCAGACGAGAGCCGAGGGAAGCCGCTTCCCCCTGATGAGGTTGTGTCAGCAGCACGTTGACTGAGGACTGCTGAGAGACATCAGACACAACCTCATTGTTTCTGAAGTCCAGAGAAAGTCTGCTTTCATCCAGGCCGTCAAAGATGAGCAGCACTTGCAGACAGCCAGCTGCTCTGCTGTGGACCTTCTGTAAGGTCGGATGGAAAACATGGAGCAGCCTGAGAAGACTGTACTGCTCACCTTTGATCAGGTTCAGCTCCCTGAAGGAGAGTGGGATCACCAAGACTGACATCTTGATTTTCCAAAACCCTCGGCCCAGTCCAGAGTGAACTTCTGCACTGAGAAGGTTTTTCCAACTCCACAGCGACTCCGTTGGTCAGGACCGCTCTGATGAGAGGTTGGTCAGGTAAGGCTTTAAAGATGTCCTGGCACTTGATTGGAGTTTCATGGAGGGGGCTTCTTCTGGGAAGCTGTCTCCAGCTGCCTCACCTCATGTTGGGGTATTAACCTCTTCACTCAGGCCTTGTGTGATGTAGAGCTCAGTGAAGATCCTGTTCAGGAGGGTTTCACTTGTATCAGTTCCTTCAGTCACATGTTCACATCTCCTCCTCAGACTGATCCGATGTTCATCTAAAACCTCCTGCAGACCACTATCTGCTGAAGGAGAAGGAAACGTGTGAGTAATACAAATAAAACAAATAAATAAAAGGGTTCAGAATGAATGTCTTTGCTGTAACAAATGAACCAGGAAGAATCCTGTTTTCAGACATGAAGACCCCAGCAAGACAGATATTTAGACTTACTTTGTACAGTGCTGGTCTCACTGTCTCTCTGCACTCCAGCTCTTGTTCTGATGTTTCCTCGTCCCTCTGTTGAGATGAACACATCCTTATAGCGCAGGTATATGTACATAATAAAAACATCTTCCTGTCTGGATTCATAACATAATTCAAAGTTGGACACAGCAAGTTCATCATATATAGCAACTCACACGTCATCAAAATTAGGGCTGGGCGATATGGCCTAAAAATAATATTGCAATATTTTTAACCTGTATCGCGATACACAATATAAATTGAGATATTTAGAAATCCCGTTCCATACCCAACACACCAGTATGAGGATTGTTACATTAAGACATTAAGGGCTATTCATGATCATTTGCATCTCGTCTTCATCTATTGTACATCGTGGATCACGTCGGAACTTTCAAAACACCAAACACAGTAGCCACTCAAATACTCGCTCAGTCTGGTCCACAAAGCCCTGCTCCTCCTCGGGAATAATGCTGAACCAGACGGGCTCGGAGGTAAAGACGGGTGAGGGTGTTTGCGGACGCAAAGGACAGCCATAGACTGTAGAGCAGCGGTTTTCAAAGTGTGAGGCGCGCCTCCCCTGGGGGGCGCCAGAGAGCTTCAGGGGAGGCGCAGCGTGAGACAAAAAATAACGAGAAAAGATGAGAAAAGTGACACTTGCCCACTGTTGGCTGTCTGTGGAGACCGAGTTTCCCCACCTCACCTCGCCAAAAAGGCTGTAAAAGTGCTCATTCCCTTTCATCTCCACCCACCTGTGTGAGTGCGGGTTTTCCGCATGGACTTTGAATCAAAATCAAGTGCCGAGTATGATCTGCGTTGATTCCTGTGTGCATCAAAGACGCAGACTCATTGTTCCCACTAAAGTAGGGTGAGTGTAATAAGGAGGCAAAATTGACTTTCAGTGTGTTGCCGGGAACATATAATGATTTAATCCACGATGTTGAAAATGTTAAAAATGTTTTAAAAACATGTGTTGAGAACACGGCGTGCGAAAATATACGGGTCGTGCTGCAGCTAGATTTGCCTGTCCTCTGTAAGAAGGTGCCGGCGACTGACATGCAAGGAAGAACGGCTGTCCACAGGCTGTTCCAACTTTAACAACTTTATTAACTTCCAGGGTAGTGAATTGAACATGCTATTGTAATTGGGTGTGTGGTATATTTTCGTGCACGGACACGCATGTTCCACAACACACAAACTGAACAACACTCAATTGTCCGATCGCTACCAGTGTCCTTGCGATCTTGTTTTAACAACAAAGTGCACATTACTGATGCAATATGGTTGAGACCATTCGGGCTTATTCTAGAGGGGTGCAAGGAATAGTCCAAGTAGTGGGGGAGTTGTATACAATATGTTTAAAACATAAAGATAAAAAGGTTTAAAAAAGTTATTGTTTAATGTTTTAAGGAGGTGACGCTACTCAGCCAATCAAATCGGTGCAGTCAGTGAGTCAGCACGATAGATTCAAACACACACACAGAGACGAGACAAGAGGAGAGAAACAGTCTTCATTTTCTCTCACTGGACCTCTTGTGAATGAAATTGAATACCTCTGCATTATAGCAACAACAACAATGATAATAATAATAATAATAGCAATAATAATTGGGAGGGGGGGCGCGGCTGTTTCTTATGTTCTCTGAGGGGAGGCTCACCTTCCCACACTTTGAAAACCCCTGCTGTAGAGGACAGCCCGCTAGGGGAAGCAGTGAGGTCTGTTGTGTGTACCATACAGAGTCTATGGTTCATACACATACATTAAAAACACTGAATTAATATGAGGTACTGTAAAGCTTGGCTGCTGATGTTTTCCTTTACTGATTCAACGTCAGCACGTCAGCACGTCAGCACGTCAGCACGTCAGTGACGATTTTCATTTCAAACCTTTATTTATCCAGGTTGTATCCCATTGAGATCATTGACCTCTTTTTCAAGGGAGACCTGCTCAAGTAGGTTCCACATGAAACATTAAAAACATAAACAGAACAACAAAAGGACATCATACATTAGCATTACAGGGATTACAATTTACATAACTATCCACATGCACAGGTACCAACAGCTTCCGATTGAGTAGCATCCAACCGAGCTTTAAAAACATTGAGTGGCACCAGATTGCTCAGTTTCCATTTTAATTGCAGACTATTCCAGGACAGTGGAGCTGCGCATCTAAATGCTATCTTCCCTAAGACAGTCCAAGCAGTTGGCACATTTAATAAAACCACAGCATGCGATCTCAGGCAGTAGCCACTTACAATTCGCCGTGAGATCAGGGAGCAGATGTAGGATGGAAGTTTCCCTAACATGGCTTTATATATAAAAATGTACCAGTGACTGAGCCTCCGTGCAGTTAGTGAAGGCAGACCAGCCCTTGCATACAGGGTACAGTGATGGGTTAATGCTTTACAGTTTGTCACAAATCTCAGTGCACTGTGATACGCAGCATCTAACTTGACCAGGCAATTGGCAGGTGCATTCATATAAATCAAATCACCATAGTCCAGCACAGGTAAAAAGGTCACAGTGACTAGCCTTTTCCTGGCCTCGAGCGAGAAACAGGACTTGTTCCTGTAGAAGAAACCTAGTCTAACCCTCAGTTTTTTAAGCAGGTTATTGACATGACATTTAAAAGTGAGACAATCATCAAGCCAGATACCAAGGTATTTGTAACAGGCAACCACTTCAAGTTTTATTCCTTGCGTAGTTAAAATATCTAAAACAGGCTCTGGTGTCTTTTTAGCTTTTGAAAAGAGCATTACCTTAGTTTTATCCACATTTAAAAGAAGCTTAAGCACTGAGAGCTGAGTCTGAATAATGTTAAAAGCAGCTTGCAATTCAACACCAGCCTCCTTAATGGAGGGACCTGCACAGTACATAACGGTATCGTCCGCATAAAAATGTAAGGTTGCTCCATCGACATTTTCACCTAAACTATTGATGTAGATGGAGAATAAAAGTGGACCTAAAACAGAACCTTGAGGAACACCATTAGTAATGTTTAACCACTCAGAAGACAGCCCATCAAAAATGAACACATTGGGACCTTTCAGAGAGGTAGTTCACAAACCACCCCACTGCATGGCTGGATATGCCAATACTGAGTAGCCTCTGCTTTAAGATGCAATGATCGACGGTATCAAACGCTTTGGAAAGGTCAATAAATAGAGCTGCACAACTCTGATTTTTATCTAAAATACTCGCCACATCATTCACCACTTTCATTGTGGCAGTGATGGTGCTATGTTGCTTTCTGAAGCCTGACTGATGTTTAGACAGGATGTCATTTGTACATAAAAACACCTTTACCTGCTCACTCACTAGGCGTTCAAGAACCTTAGCCAGAACTGATAATTTCGAGATGGGCCTATAATTATTTAAAACAGTTGCCTCCCCTCCTTTCAGCAAAGGCAGGACATACGCTGACTTCCACAATTTTGGAATTGTGTTTGTGCTGAGGGAGAGGTTAAAAAGAGAAGTGAGAGGTGGAGCAATAAAATCTGCTGCTATCTTTAAAAAGAAAGGTTCCACGTTGTCCGGGCCAGCCGGTTTCTTAGGATCTAACTTGGTTAAAGCTTCACGAACAACATCAACAGTAAAAGGAGTAAAACTAAAAGTGTTTTCCAGACCACATTGTTCAGAGTCACAGACTGTGGTGTTCACAGAAGCAGAGTTTGTCACAGAATCAAACAGAGAGCCACAGGACACAAAATGCTCATTAAAGCAATTTAACATAGTAGCCCTGTCCGAT